TAGCAAGGAGATAACAGTTAATAATAATGTACTGTATACTTACAAATAGCTAAAAGAGATGCTTTTCAATGTTCCCACCACAAAAATGATAAATATTTCAAGTGATGGCTATGCCATCAGGATTAGCTTGATATGACCATTCCATAATATATATGTAACCACATATGATATGGCACCCCATAAACATATATTAAAAACGACTTTAATAAAAGAAAAAGAAAAAATACCATTTTAATTGTTTTAAGTGTACAGTTCAGTAGTATTAAGTACTAAGTATATACTACTCTATAATACTATTAATTCAAATTTCCATAAGTTTCTGTCCTCAAAGGTAAAAGAATATACTAATATGTAAAACAGCATTTAAACATGTACAAGATTAACATCAAATTCAGAATCGTGCTCAGGAGGGAGCAGGGAAAGAAGGTGTTCAGGAAAGAAATAAAAGGGGGCTTACGTTTTGTCTATATTTACTTTTTAAAGATATAATGAAATAAATACGGCAAAATGCTAAGACTTGACCAAACCGAGATTTAAGTACATAGGCATTTGTCATATCATTTTCTATACTTTCATGTATTCTTCTAACTTTTTTTTTTTTTTTCTTTGAGATGGAGTTTCACTCTTGTAGCCCAAGCTGGAGGGCAGTGGCACAACTTCCACCTCCTGGATCAAAGCAATTCTCCTGTCTCAGCCTCCCAAGTAGCCGGGACTACAGGCACACACCACCACACCTGGATAATTTCTTGAAATTTAGTAGGGATGAGGTTTCACCATGTTGGCCAGGCTGGTCTCAAAGTCCTGACCTCAGGTGACCCATCCATCTTGGTCTCCCAAAGTGCTGGGATTACAGGCAGGAACCACTGCGTCCAACCCTTCTTTAAACTTTTTATTTCGCCCTAATTTTAGACTTACAGAGAAGTTGCAAACATAGTACAGGGTATCCATATACCTCTCGGCTTACACCCCTAAGGTTAACATCTTACACAGCCATAGCAGAATGATCAGATCAGGTATTAACTTTGGTACAACATGATTAGCTAAAACAAAGATGGTATTGGAATTTCCCATTTTTCCACTAGTGTCATTTTTTTTTTAATTGCATTTTAGGTTTTGGGGTACATGTGATGAACATGCAAGATTGTTGCATAGGTACACACATGGCAGTGTGCTTTGCTGCCTTCCGTCCCCTCGCCTGTATCTGTCATTTCTCCCCATGCTATCTCTTCCCACCTCCCCACCCCCCGCCCCTCCCCCATTTCCCCCCAACGGACCCCAGTGTGTAGTGCTCCCCTCCCTGTGTCCATGTGTTCTCATTGTTCAACACCCGCCTATGAGCGAGAATATACGGTGTTTGATTTTCTGCTCTTGTGTCAGTTTGCTGAGAATGATGGTTTCCAGGTTCATCCATGTCCCTACAAAGGACGTGAACTCATCGTTTTTGATGGCTGCATAATATTCCATGGTGTATATGTACCACATTTTCCCTATCCAGTCTATCATCGTTGGGCATTTGGGTTGGTTCCAGGTCTTTGCTATTGTAAACAGTGCTGCAATGAACATTTGTGTGCACGTGTCCTTGTAGTAGAATGATTTATAATCCTTTGGATATATACCCAGTAATGGGATTGCTGGGTCAAATGGGATTTCTATTTTTAGGTCCTTGAGGAATCGCCACACTGTCTTCCACAATGGTTGAATTAATTTACATTCCCACCAACAGTGTAAAAGTGTTCCTATTTCTCCACATCCTCTCCAGCATCTGTTGTCTCCCGATTTTTTAATGATCGCCATTCTAACAGTTCTCTCTAGAATCACACATTGCATTTAGTGGTTCCTTCTCCTTAGTCTCTTGCAGTCTGTGACAGCACCTCAGTCTTTCCTTGCCTTTCTTGACCTGACACTTGTCAGTTACTTTGTCAAATGTCCCCACAGTTGGAGTTTCGTCAGATTCTTTCTCATGATTAGGTTGAGATTACACACTGTTGGCCAGAACACGATGGAAACGATGCTGTGCCCTCAGTGCATCCCATTGCAGGTCCAGGACGTCTCTTTCTTGTATACTTAAAATATTTCATAATTTTGATAAATGAAAAATAAATAAGTAGCTGTATTATCCTGGGTTCTGTAGAGATACAGAACAAATAGGAGATGAATAGATGGATGGATGAAAGGAAGGAAGGAAGGAAGGAGAAAGAAAAAAGAAAAAGGGAGGAAGGAAGGCAGAAGGGAGGGAGAGAAAAAGAAAGAGAAAAGAGAAAGATTTTAAGGAATTGGCTCATGCAGTTATGTGGGCTGAGAAGTCCCAAGATTTGCTAACTGCAAGCTGGAGACCCAGAAAAGCCAATGATATAGTTACAGTCTTAGTCTGAAGGCTTGAGAAGCAGGAGAGCTGATAGTCTAAGTGCCAGTCTGATTCCAGGAGCAAGGAAGGACTGTGCAAAATCTCCTTCACTCAGTGTTTTGTTTTACTCAGCCCTCAATGCATAGGATGATATTCACCCACACTGGGAAGGGCAACCTGCTTTACTGGGTCTACTGATTCAAATACTAGTCCATACAGAAACACCAACGTGGATACCCCCAGAATAATGCTGAACAAATATCCCAGCACCACATGGTCTAGCCAAGATGATACATAAAATTAAGCATCATAACAGCTTAACTTCTAAATTAGAAACTTCCTACCCTGTATATTTAGGTTCCAAATCCCATCAAGTCAAATGGATCTTAGGAAGTGTTCCAATTCTTAGTTATTATTGGCTTCAGGCCTAAGACATTATAAATCCACAACATACTATCATTTCTAAAACTTCAAGAAGCTTTATTATACTTGATCTTGCTTCAAGAAAAAAGGCAGTTTATACTACTTAGAGAATGTAATAATTGTAATCCAAGAGAAGCTAGACCTGCAAGTCAAATTAAGGCCCTAAGAAAGAAATTAACATGAGCTGTATTGTTAATGAGGACCCCTAAGTCGCCTGATCTTCTTTTGGAGGTGAAGTTACCATTTAGAATTGACTACATTTCTCAGCATGGCATCCTAAGAATAATGTGTGTCATTGCTATTTCTATGATGCTTTAGAAAGAAAAACCTAAATGATTATATGGTTTTCTAGGGCAAGAAAAGCATGTTTCA